CTTCATATAACAATGAATAATTGAAAAAATAATACATTCAAATAATACAACACAGAGCATAAGCTTCACATTGGACACTAAACAACGTATGTATTAACAAAGGACAAAAGGCTAGATGTTAATAAACTACGACATTTTTGCTTTTAACTAATTTATTAATCAGGTAGAAAATTGTTTTTAAAGGACCACTATAGTGCCAGGAAAACATACTCGTTTTCCTGGCACTATAGTGCCCTGAGGGTGCCCCCACCCTCAGGGACCCCCTCCCGCCCGGCTCTGGAAAGGGGAAAGAGGTTTAAACTTACCTTTTTCCAGCGCTGGGCGGAGAGCTCTCCTACTCCTCTCCTCCTCCGTTCCTCCTCCTGGGCTGAATGCGCAAGCGCGGCAAGAGCTACGCGCGCATTCAGCCCGTCGCATAGGAAAGCATTTATAATGCTTTCCTATGGACGCTTGCGTGCTCTCACTGTGAAAATCACAGTGAGAAGCACGCAAGCGCCTCTAGTGGCTGTCAATGAGACAGCCACTAGAGGAATTGGGGGAAGGCTTAGCCCATTCATGAACATAGCAGTTTCTCTGAAACTGCTATGTTTATAAAAGAATGGGTTAACCCTAGAAGGACCTGGCACCCAGACCACTTCATTAAGCTGAAGTGGTCTGGGTGCCTAGAGTGGTCCTTTAAGTGTCTTAGCCCTGCAAATTATTTCATGAAGTAGAACTATTTTAGCAAATTAACTGATCCACAGTTATAAATATGCAGTAATTTATCCTTAAAATGCTATTTCTTGTAAGTAATGTTTACCGGATGCATCTTTCTACCCATTTATTAAAGTAGCACAATTATTTTTATAAAGAGATTGGAAGTGAATTATCTTCCTCACCATTATGTTTCTGATGCTAATTATTTTATAGATATGTGCACAGGCATATTTTTAACTAAAATCACATATTCAGTAGTACTTTGCATATTCAGCACAAATATGTCTATAACTCAGCTATATTTTTAAAGTGTAATTTTTTACCCAGTAATGAATTATTAGAATCTATATTAAGCCTGAAAGATTTATTTTTTTTTTTTTAAATTAGTTTTTTTTTATATTCATATGGTTTAGTATAATGAAAAAACTTGGATAACCATTCCCCTATCATCTATTTTTCTAAATATTTGGCTGTCTCTTACACTGTGCAGTTTCAGAGCAGACTGGTTTTAATCTTTAAAAAAAGTTACCTTTGGGGCTGTCACTAATCAGACAAAGAAGATGAGAGCATTTAAAGCGTCCAACAATATATTTACTGCAAGTCGTCTTCTAAAAATATCATCATAAATTCTTCCAGCTAAAATATTACCAGTTAATGTTATGTCAAGATCTTTATTTTTTTTTGCAGAGATTGTTTTTCTGCTAATTCCTCAGCATTAAAAAAATCTTTAAATATCATTGGCACAAACAAGCCAAAACTAAATATAAAATTATAATATAGAGAAAAAAAAGCCCATGTTGAGTGACTTGAGTGACTTGACAAACGAGGAAGAATTTATGCCAAAATAGCTGTTGCCAAAGAGCTGAAAAATGTTTCTCTGTTGTCGGCTTACCACAAATCGTGGTTTAGTTAACCCCTAAAGGAACTAATGTTACGCATTGCTGTCATCACAATCTGCTTTCTAAAGATCAGATGCCAGCGGAGAATGTCTCACTTATTTATCTTTGGCAGCTTCATTCAGCCATGCAGTTCTTAATTCAGTATCACATTCCATTTTGGAATAGGATCCTTAAAGAACATATTGCTGTGGTGGCATAGCCTGTTATTGGTTATTAAAGAATTAATAATCACCATAGTTTAAAAAGTCACGAGAATTGTATTTGTAAATGTTAAAACATCCAACAATGAAAGGTCCTTGAATTGGGAATGTTCTATGCCCCTCTTCTAAAACTACAGGAGTTGTACAGTTGTGCTTAAAAGTTTGCATACCCTTGGGGAATAGGTAATATATGTACTATTTTTAAAGAAAACATGAGTGAGCATTCAAAGCACATTTCTTTTATTTCTCATATTCAACTGTAGGTTATAACTGAATGGCACAATCATAAAACAAAACATGGCAACAAAGAAAAAAATGAAATGACTCCTGTTCAAAAGTCTGCCTACCCTTAGTTCTTAATACTGTGTATTTCCACCTTTAGCATCAATGACAGCATGCAGTATTTTGTAATAGTTGTCTATGAGGCCCATAATTCTTGCAGGTGGTATTGCTGCCCATTCGACTTGGCAAAATGCCTCCAGGTCATGCAAAGTCTTTGATCGTCTTGCATGAACCATAAGTTTGAGATATCCCCAGAGTGGCTTGATTTTATTAAGGTCAGGAGACTCTAGAACCTTCACCTTTTTCTGCTGTAACCACTGGAGGGTTAACTTGGCACTGTGCTTAGGGTCATTGTCATGCTGGAAAGTCCAAGAGTGTCCCATGCGCAGCCTTCGTGCAGAAGAATGCAAGTTGTCTGCCAGTATTTTCTAATAACATAGCTGTTTTAATAAAAATAACTGCTTTCATCTTGCCATCGATATTCACAAGATTCCCTATTCCTTTAGAGCTCACACTCCCCCAAAACATCAGTGAGCCACCATGATTCACAGTGGGGATGGCATTCTTTTCACTATAGGCCTTGTTGACCTTTCTCCAAACATAGCGCTTATGGTTGTGACCATAAAGCGCTATTTTGGTCTTGTCACTCCAAATTACTGTGTGCCAGAAGCTGTGAGGTGTGTCATGGTATTGTTGATGCATATTGCAAGCAGGCTTTTTTGTGGAATTGACGCAGTAAAGGCTTATTTCTGGCAACTCAACCATGCAGCTCATTTTTGTTTAAGTAATGTTATATTGTACTTCTTGAAACAACCACACCATCTTTTTCCACAGCAGCCTGTATCTCTCCTGAGGTTACGTGTGGGTTTTTCTTTTTATCCTGAACAATTCTTCTGGCAGTTGTGGCTGAAATCTTTCTTGGTCTACCTGACCTTGGCTTGGTATCAAGAGATCCCCGAATTTTCAACTTCTGAACAGTACTGATTGGCATTTTCAAGGCTTTGGATATCTTTTCATATCCTTTTCCATCTTCATAAAGTTTCATTACCTTGTTACGCACATCTTTTGACAGTTCTTTTCTGCTCATCCATGGCTCAGTATCTAGCCTGCTCAGTGCATCCACATGAGAGCTAACAAAATCATTGATTATATTATACTCAGACACTAATTCCAATTTAAAAAGCCACCGGTGTAGGAAATTAACCTTTAATTGCCATTTTAACATGTGTTTGCCACATAGTGTGTCTGTAACAATTTCAAACATTCAGGGATATGTAAACTTTTGATCAGGGCATTTGGGTGATTTCTGTTATCATTATGATTTAAAAAGGAGCCTCACAACTACGTGATAATAAATGACTTCATTTGATCATTATCCTTCAATAAAATACATTTTTGTCTTTGCATCATCAGTCATATTTTCAAAATCATGGTTTAAAGCTTATAACTACAGCAATTTGCTAAAATATTGCACCTCTAAATTCACTGCCAACATAAACATGCCATACCGTGCTTTCCCTTGACAGTACAAGTCCCCATCTCAGCTAAATGTCTCACTCATAGGATTCAATGTTTCAAAATGTGTCTGAAAAAAAATTACTAGAGCTATATTAGGGCATATTGCAACTCACAAGTTAGTTGCGTTAGTGGAGCTGAATGGAGCTGGCTCGGCATTCCCAATGATAACTATGGGAGGGTTGAAAGGTTTTAGTCACTTCCTAATTGTGACAACCTACCGGTTGGTTGGTTTGCTTGAAGAGGAACTCGAGGAAGTTGCAGTGGAACGACAACCCCTTACCAACACAACCCTCACAGTTTCCTGAGAGTGATACAGAAATCTGGGAGATCTGTGAGGGCACAGGTGCCTTTATTTACAGAGGAAGCAGAGAAGCCAGAAAGGTGCAAGCAGGAAGCAGTGTCAGGTGGTCTGATGGTCAGGGCTGGCAGCAAAGAAGCAAGGTCTAGGGTCAAACCGAAGGTCATAAGCCAGGAGATCCACAAATAGAGAGCAAGGGTGTCAGAAGCCAAGGGTCGGAGACAAGAAGCGTGGTCAAGGCCAAGCCAGAGGTCAGAAGCCAAGAAGTATTCCCGGGAATTAAGGAACAAGGAACAAGATCAGGAACATGGACCAGGATCAAAGACATGGATCAGGAACACCAAACAGGATCAGAATCAGGAACACAGACCAGGAATATGGACCAGGACCTGCAACATGGACCAGGTTCAAGAACAAGGACCAGGATCAAAGACACGGACCAGGACATGGATCAGGTTCAGCAATACAGGAAGTGAAGAACGCCAGGACACTGCAAGCAACGATCAAAACAACCAAGCACTGACCAAGTGCAGTTCTTAGCTATTTATAGGGGAGGCCAATCATTGTGACCCCTTGCAGGTGGAGCCCCCCATGCTATTCAAAAAGGAGCCCTTCTTCCCCCCTCCCCCTCCTTTTGCCTCCCCTGCCATCCAGCACACATTGAGCAGAGCACAACACCAAATGCTGGAGCCAGGAGGAGGAGAGGAGAGGTGGATACCAGAGGCCCCCAGCATCTCGAATAAGGTAAGAGCTGACGGGTGCCGTGACATTGATCTAGCAAAGGCTTATTGCAAAAAGGGAAATACGTGAGAATTCTTTAATTTTTTTATCTTCTTGCATTTTAAATACACTATCTATATGCATTAAAATCAGTTTATCAAGATGGGTAAGAGACATTATGGATGGAGTTATGGTGTAGGGCCGAAGGAGAGACAGGAATGGGCAAAGGTTTGAACAGTATTGGTGTAGAAGGAGTGTGGGTGATTAAAAGATGGTGATGTGGCTGGATTCCTGGCTGAGCCTGGGGCTCTAGGTGGAGTGTGTGTTGAATTGACAAGCACTGCAGGAGTTTCTACTACAAACAACTGCAAGCTACTTTCAGATCCTCTATATGCGCACTTTGTATGACACCGTCCAATAACATCGAGGACCTCTCCTCCATATCCCATTCAGTTTTGGTAGTCGTCGTGTTTCAAGCTGACATTCATTACAGAAGAATTTGCGATATATGTCACCTGGTATACAATTTACCTGTGCTCCGTCTCCATCTGCAGAATACTTTGTGTCCTGCACAAAGGCAAGGTATATCTGGGAGGTGCCTGTGTCATTATCTGAATTGTCCATTTCATCTATACTATATACTGGTCGTGGCTGTTGCTCCATGTAGCTTGTTCCTCTATTATACATTTTGGCAAAATGTCCTTTTGTTTGTGCATTTATTGCATGTTTGTCCTCTTGCAGGGCATATTTTATCTCTGCTATGCATGTTTCCACAGTATCCACAGGTTGTTCCCGTGTCTCTAACTCTGTTTCCTCTTTTGTTCCTTCTCCAGACATCCCTTTGTTCTATTTTGTGACTGTTAGATTGCTTTTCAATTTCACTGATCTGTTGTGGCCCTCCCAGTGCCTTCAAGTCTTTTATTGACATCTGATATGCTCTTGCAATTCTGACAGCTTTTTCAAAGGTAAAATCCTCTTCCTGCAGTAACTTTTCCTGAACATTTTTATACTGGCTGCCCATTAGTATCCTGTCTTTTCTCATATCTCTAACATCATATCATGAAAAGCACATTTAGCCTGTAGCTGTAATTGTGTGACCCATTCATCCACTGATTCACTGCCCCCTTGGTTCCTCTCATCGAACAGCTTTCTCTGCACTGTGGTGTTTTTGCGTGGAATACAGTATGTATCAAACTTTGCAAACAGTACCTCTGTCTTTTTCTTGTCCTCTGCAGTTATGTGTCCACTTGCACACCATGTTCTGCATACAGCACGACCTGTTTGGTCCACACTGATAAGAAAGTATGCTGCCTTTTGTTGTAGAGTCCAATGTGCTGCATGCGGTCCTGCATAAACCACTTCTATCAGGTCCCTCCATTTTGCCCAGTTCTCTGATACATTGCCAGATTCTAACCTGCGAACTAGGTCCTATTCCGGGTTACATGACCAGATTTAAAGTGAACCAACACATTAACTATTTAAGGTATAATAGTGCAGTTAAACAATTAACATTAGAGATGTCACAAGCAAAATGACACATCATCACAGTTTCTACAATCTGGAACCCTGGCCTTGGATAATCCTAATCCGGCTCTGAGAAAAGCACATATAAGAGAAGTATAGAGATTAATTTCATGTGAGCATGTGAGACTGAACAGGAAGTATTTAGAGATGACGAATGAGAAAACTATTCGAACAGGAATTATAAGCTGCTTAAGTCGTTACCAGTTTTAGTGGTTTCAAGTTAAATAAATGACATGGATTCTTAAATCTCAAGATACTGGTTCCAAATGGAATCTTACACAATTGCTACTCAATAAACCATGCCATTTCAGTATTGTATTAAATTGATTTAACATGAAAGTACCAGGAGAGACAAAATGAAAATAGTAAATGAAATGGAAATTATTACACTGCTAAAAATAGAGTAACTTGAAATTCTTCATTATAAGAGGTTTAGAGAATGTAAGTAGAGTTAATGTAATAGTTTTCTAGTTTACAAACAGAGATGCATAAAACACCCAACAGGCATACAACTCTCCGTCCTATTTCTTCATTCATGACTTCATAGACATCAGAGATGTAATTCAAATTTAAAAGCCTTAAATGTCCAGTTAAATATTTCTGGTTATGTGAATTGACCCACATCTCTGGAGTAATTTGTATCACTGGTCTAAAACACAAATTATAGCATATAAGAATCATGTGATGTTTGTATACACACACAGAACATTTTTATTTAATTTCTCACTAATTAGGGAAAACTAAAGGAAAATATCTCTGAATGTCAGGGTCCCTCAGCACTCACATCTATAATGCCATTTAACCCATCTTAAAGGGACACTCTAAATACCAGAATAGCTTCATCTTAAAGCAGGGGTTTCAAAGAACAGGCCTATGGGCCATTTCCGTCCCTCTAAATAGATTCATGCAGCCTAAAGTTACATGAGATATTAGCCTGAGTCCTGCTGTGCATTTCTACTTCCAGATTGCTGGGTGGCCCGGTCCACATCCGGGGCAAGAAGTGTAGTGGCAATCACATAGAGACCAGCACATCAAGGAATAAAAGGTAAGCAATCTATAGTGTTTAGTGGTTAACAAGAGAATGTCTAGTGTTAGAAATGTATGTTTGTATTTGTAATGTTCATTAATTTGTAGAATTTTTTCAACAAACCATGTCTCCATGCTCTCGGTGGCCCCTGTTTCAGTCACCATAAAAGCCCACAAGACCCTGAATTCACATTGATTTAATTCCACTGATCCATTATTCTTTTATGTTGCAAGGGTTATAGGTGAGGAGTTGGGTGGCAGCCAGATGTGGGAGAGGGAGGGCTGGCCCTGTGCTAGAGTGACGAGTGGGCCCCTAAAAAGCCATGAATAAATATTAGCCCTGAGTAACTAGTCCTGGGACTGTTCGGAGACTCAGAGCTATGAACAGCATTCACCCAGTGGTGGCAGACTTTCTGTAATGGATCCCATGAGCTCTGCTCAGTATAGAGTGTTGACATAGGTTGCCACTTATACTAAGAGCCATTACACAAAGTTTGCAACAGCAGAGGGTAAGCAGAGTCTCCATTCTGCACCACTAGAGATCTGAATACTGCCCCCTGCCCTCCATCCCCCCATTTCTCCCTGCCATAAGGTCACAAGAGGAGGGTTGGAAAGAAACTGTTTTTGTTTTTGTTTTTAAAAAGCTTTTATATATGTGTATTATTTACACAAATTTAAGTCCCATCTCACTCCCATCCACACACCCGCTACAGCTCATATTCCAGTATACATCCCCTATAAATACATACTACATCCCCAGAAAACACCACATCTCCTGCACTGTCTGTCTATGCCCATCTGTGTGTTCCTATCTTTGCTTTTAGGCACTTGTATGTGCTTACCTGTGGCTACCTGTGTGCCTGTGTGTGTGTTGGTACCTTTCTGTATGTGTGTGTGTGCCTGTGTCTGCTTGTGCATGTATGTGTGTGCGTCTATGTATACTTGTCTGTGTGTGTTGCAATGTAAAGTGGTGAAATTGGGGAAGTGGTGTTGTAACTTTAGGAAAGGAACACCAAAGTATTTTGGGGGTCAGGTGGTTTCTGACCCTAGCAATACCCATGCCCACAGCCTAAGATGTTCATGACAAACCTGGTCCTCAATGTTTGGAGCATTCCCTTTTAATGTTAGATTATGTTAATTGAACCATGAAATACATCAGGTGTCCACATTTTTCTTGTCCTCCAATATTAAGAGCCCATGAACATTTGTATAGGTTTTTATGGATTTTTTTCCAGAAGACACATTGATTTCTGCAACCTCAAGGCTATTCTTCTAGCTTGCAAGGTACAGCATCCAATATCCAGATGATACCATCACTCCCTTGTTTTCTCTATACAGCCAGCATCTTCTCATTCTGTCTCTGCTTTTGCAAGACATTCTATTAGTTTCCATAGACCTGTTAACTTTTGCCTGCCTAATCTGTCTACTATCTACAAACTTTATTAACTTAAATTCTGTGCCATGAAACTCACCCGAACGCACTCTAACAATAGCACTAGATAATGAGCCCTTTCTTCCACACTAGAGATATGTGCACCAACTCCAGTAATGCTGAATGTATACTGAGCATGATATGAAAACACTATTTCATTCTCAGCCACATCGCATGATAGCTCTCCTAGGCAATTTCAGGTTAAAGCTAAAATACAAACATCCTCCAACTGGCAAATGAAGGACCAAACTTTGGAAAAAATGTTAATCCTCGTCTTGCCAATCAACCGAATCCTGTTTCTGTCATTTTATTGTGTTGTTCTTTTGGCATTTTTACTAAGCAGATAAACATTATGCTGAAAACAAATAACCACTGTTTTTTATTTTTTTTGTAGAAAAAAACTGCAGCATGAGCAGGTTCATTTAAGGAATTGCTCTAGTTGTGTGCTTTTAAGTACTTTGAAAAGATGGACAATTTAATTGCATTTTATCCCTTTGGCATGTACTGTTTTCCACTTTCATGCACTTAGTGGCCTATCAACAAGCCCCGGGAGAGGATCTATCACGTCACACATAGCAGCGATAAGAAAGCTGTTGCAAACTGCCAATCACTAAGATAAGCATATATTTTGTAACGGACATCTTCGATATCATTCTATTCTGTTTGTTCAACAATTAAATTACTAGGAAGGCTGGAGGAAATGTGCTGATTTAAAATCTTCATTCCAGGCTAAGTAGATGTCGGACCACATTTGTAATTTAGTAAAATAAATTAAGGATTATCGTGAATGTTAACAGGCTAAAAGCCTGTTAACAGTGTTTAGTTTCTCCTATGAATTGAAATTAACCAGGGCAATGGAAGTGCTAAAACCTTGACAAAATAATAAAAAAACAAAATACATTTTTCTTCATTAATGCTGATCAAACTTAATTGGATTTCAAAATAAAATTTTGCAACAGTTTGAGCAATGAATAACAATTTCAAATATATCAACACTGAGTTCAATCAATGTCTATAAATACAAAAAAGAACCTTAGAATGTTGTCAATGACATTGCAATCTTATCTTCCTGTATTGGTACACTTATCTTAATTAATCATGCCCATATAGTGCCTTCTCCTTTTTGTCTACTGATGCGGCCTTCAAACGCATTAGATGGACTTTTCTTGTTGCGACGCTCCTCCATATTGGCCTGTGTTCTCATTTGCACAAATATATAGCTGCATTATACACTCCACCCATTGGGACCCATAGGGTCTGTGTGAACAGTACATTTACTAATAAATTTCATATATACAAAGTATAGGTATAAAAGGGATCTCTATCCCAAACGAAGATTTCAAAATCTGCTTATACGCAGATGACATAATACTGACTATTACAGAGCCGGAACAATCGTTACCACTGCTAATGCAGGAGATAACACTATATGGTGAGGTCTCCAATTTTAAAATGAATATTAATAAAACACTGGCATTAACAGCTAACATAGGGAAACAAGGCTACAATTACTAAGACAAAAATATCTGGGTATTTTGTTGACAACTGATGTTGCCCGCTTAATGGAAATTAATTTTCTAGATCAACTAAAAGAAACAAATAGATTACTAAAGGAATGGAGGTCCTACGAAATATCATGGTGGGGCAGGATTAACACGCTTAAGGCATATATTGTCCCAAAATGGATTTACTTGTTCCGCATGATCCCCATTAAGGTCCCAATACATTGGTTGAATCCAATACAGAGTAGCTTTACAGACTTTATATGGAGGGGTGAGAAACCTAGAATCAATTCGGCAATATTAGCGAATAAAGCTTATCGGGGAGGGTTGGGATATCCATTAATAAAGAATAC